ATAAAAATATTGGTTTCAAATGGAAGGGACTATGACATCAGCAAGATCAATTGGATAATATCAATTTTGGAGAAAATCGGCTGTAGGGTTTAGTCATTAGCGTTGTTCACAGATTGATGAACAGTCAGACCAACATTTTGCTGTCATTTGATTCTTCGGAACTTTTTTTTTTTTAACACAATGCTGTAAAGTACAGGAGATATGCCACCTTTTGTTTAAAAATTTTAATTTTTCAATAATAAATAACACATACCTAATTTTTATTAGATGATTTAATTGTCAAGGTAAATACATTACAAGTGTATTTCATGAAGTGATGTATTTGCAAACAGGAAGACTTAAGAAGCTCTCTTTTGTAGTTTCTTGCAAAATCGAGTTTTGTAAGTAAATGTACTCAAAATGGTACTTTTTCAGAAAAGCTGAAACAAAATGTAATAAAGAAATTCTTGTCTTTGGGAATCACGATAAATATACTTGAATTCTGTGTTGTTAAACACATTACTGGCCATGTAAGCAACAAAGTTACTTAATTTTGTAGGTTTGTCAGGACACAGTTTGCTAGCAATTAAATGAAGAAAGAAGATATATGATAGCTGAAATTTTAGAGATGAATAATTTGCCATATATTCATTAACATGTATTTAATTGTTAATCATTTTATGAGACAGTTAGTGCCATTTTGTAGTACCTCTAGATGAAATATTGATTCATTTTGATTCAAAAGTACTCGGAAAATGATTACATTTTGAAGAATGTGAACATGACACTATTTAACATCTTATTGTTGAAGAATAAATAGCATTTATGATAAAATATCTAGCATCAATAAGGAAGGTATAAGAAGAGCTGAAAAAAAGATTATTTTTTTTTTATAGATATTCAGAAGTTTTAATGGAAATCAGACATTTACCTTATTTAAGAGCACACTTAACTCTGAATAAGAAAATTAAAGGCAAAAAATTGAAGTCATTTCTTAGAGAATTTGTAAAAGTTGTCTGAAAATGAACCCTATAAAATTAAAAGATCCCTTTCAAATTCTGTACTCCGTCAGTTGAACAAATTGAGCCAGAGGTATTGGAAATAATTTGTGTTTGAGAAAATCCTGTGTATACTTTACATGTTGAGTGATGTTCATTGGCAAATGGCTGTTAGTTTTGAAAACAAATGTCTCTGTCAATATGTGGGTGTTGTGTTTTCATTGGAGAAAACATATAATTCCATCAAAATGTTGAGTTCGATTTTTTTGCAGCATTTCAAAACTTTCTTTATACTACATGGATGAGAAAATAAAGAATGAATGCTATTCAGGGAGAAAAAGGAAGGGAAATGAAGAAGAAATTTCTCAATTTTTGCAGAAAAACCCTGGTTGGAAGGACATACAACTTAAGAGCTGATACCTTGGGTGGTAGAACTGTGGAGGTGGTGAATGTGGAATATGGAATTGAATTGTTTCCAATAGATATTGGGGTGTTCAAGTTTGTCCTGGTGACTTCAATGGATTTGAAGTGTTCATTCAGCCATTACAGAGCCATTTTGAGGCCAGATAGACATTCATTTTTCTTTGAAAACTTGAAGAAAGTGGTTCTTTGCAATTGCAACCATTTTGTGAGGGATGAGTAGGTTAAAACTTGTTGGTATGCCACATTTTTTTAAAAATCTACTCATGTTTCTCTTTTCATGAAATGAATACAATTGCTGCTTCTCGTTTTTCTGTTCACGTACTTTCCCTTTTACACCCCCTCACATATTTTCTGTTTTTAATTGCTTAGGATATCAAATATATTTACGTATGTGCATATTATTTTCCTGTCTTTATAGAATGTAAGTTCCAACCTTAGTAATATGTGATTTTGCAGTGTGAGGAGTGGGCAAGTGAGAAATACAGATTCAGCAAGAGTATCGATGCCTGGACAGATAAAAAAGTGAGTTCCTTTAATTTGTTGATCTCTAGGGGCAGTTGAAGGGTCTCTAGGTGTCTACATTTAATAGGTCTTCTTGAAACAAAACTTGTCTAAATTAAGAATTAAGTGAGAATAAAATTAAAAATTAGTATACATTGCAACGTTACAAACAGCAATAATTATTTTCTGTCTGACTTCTCAACATTTTTGCATAACGTATTAATATTTTCTTCTCATATTTATTATTTCTTCCTTGATTTGCAAAATTGAAAGTAATTATTCTTAGTGTCAAAACTTTATTAGCCTAACATTGATAGTGTGGGTCTGTCTGCAGTATCTTTATAAGGTATGATTGCCACTGAAAACATAAAACAAATAGTATAAGGTGTTATGATGATATTATGACAACTGTTCTCTTCAATTCCAGTATGGAAACTGGTGCTCTTGCTACCAATGAATTGAGTTCCCATGTTCCTTCGTCACCGACTGCAGAAGTGACACCAGTTCCTCTTTCAGACAGTATCCAAGAGGAGGAAGGTGATGTGCCAAATAGTAATCCAAATCAAGTTTCTTCAGAATTTAAGGCACCACTACCACAGGTACATTTTATTTTATTTAAGTAAATTTTAGGGCTTCTTAATTGCAAGGGATCAATTTTTTTTTCAGTTTGGTGGTGATAGTAGAAAGTACACATGGAGAATAGACCTTGGCCGTACTGAAAAGCATTGGGCTGGCTGGTTTAAAGGCCTCTCCAATATGTTTTTGAGTTGTCCAGTTCCCAAAATGTTACTATTAGCTGGCATTGACAGACTTGATAAAGATCTTACAGTGGGCCAAATGCAAGGTAAGATTATTTTGGTGGTGATTATTATTTATTTAAAGTTGGTCAACTAATGAAATTCCATTTTATGTAGGAAAGTTTCAGATGCAAGTACTACCCCAGTGTGGACACGCGGTTCATGAAGATGTGCCAGATAAAGTGGCAGAAGTTGTAGCAACTTTTCTTGTGAGGCACAAATTTGCTGAACCAGCTGCTAATTTTGAGAGGTATGGACATTAAAGTTGTGTTACCGATAACCAGAGGAGTGAAATGTTAGGCAGTTAATGTTAGATAAAAAATTTATGTTAGCATCTGGCTTATTTTCACATTTTTCAAATTTTGTCTCTGCAAGATACAAGATATTTCATGATTCAAGATATTTGTAAACTTTTGTAGATAATTTTATTGTTGGTTGATTTATTATATCTTCATAAAAGTTTAGCGTGTTGTGTGTGAAACACTGTGCTTGCACTCATGCTTGTTTACCATGTGCGAAACAAGTAAATATTCTTTAAATTTATTGTGAAAGATGAAGTATGCATGAAATATCACAAAACATACACAAAATATCTTTTGCACATGGCTTGTTAAAAAAATAGTATACACGTGTGTGTGAGGTGATTCATGCATTTGTTTCATAACTTGCAATTAGCTTATTGAACACTTCTGAAGGCTTGCTCAACTTAAACCCATTGATGCCCAAATGAATTTAAAGTGCAAGCGCTCACCAATTGGCATTGGCTCACCAATTGGCAGAGCCCTTGGAGCTCTCCGGTAGCATCTGTTTGTAACTTTCATTGCTCAACCACTCTGATATTGCTAAATTACACTACTAGAGTGCTGCAAAGACCCTACCATTGGTTTTATAAATTTTTTTCTAGAAGTAGCAAAACCGCTAGACCTTAGTTCCAAATGCCCCATCAACTTTCGTGCAGACCAAACACCATTTGCTTTGCAGTGACCTCTCCCTTCAACTTAACCACGAGAAGCCTTAGCAGCTAAGTACAGATTTAGAAGAAGATTCAGACACGAGTCATCAATACACCCTGGACAGTGCTTTACCGATATTGGCTAAATCGACATCTAGCGCACAGGATTGACAAAACTTGCTTATATGTTTTGATTAGGGTGTCTACATCTATTAAAGAAATAAAATTGGCAAAATAGTGCCAAAGAAGCAAATATGAGACCAGAAATGTGTGGTGTCAAACGACAACCATGGGCGTTATTGGGTTAGGCCATAATTTGATAAACATTTTCCATGGAATTTGTAATTTTTTTTTCTCAGAGTATACGCAATAAAATTAAGGGAGTTTTATTTGAATTTCAGGACATTTCCCGCTTGTTGAAGAGAGATGGGAAAGTCTCATCAATGTTTTGTGGCCAGTTGATGTTACATTTTTTATGCAGTGTAACAGTATTAAAGCAAAATAGTGGTGGCTCTTCAGATGATTTGTTCTGCTCTGGAAGAATTTTGCTTCAAAGTAATGTTCTGTAAAGAATACTGAACTTCCTGGTTGGACTTGGCCCATCTGATTGTTTCAGGGCATGCTAGAAGTGTTTTCAGTGTTTCCTGACATTGCTCTGCACAATAATCAGAAAATTTACTGTACCTGAAATTTATACAAATATTACTAGAAAATCATTTGGACGGGTGGGGGAAATAGGCACACAGTGTAAAATTACTTCTTTTGGCTACATTGTTGGGCATGTATCACAGAACGAAAGGGAGAGTAACAAAGATGTACCTTTATTCTTGTAAAGCCACTGCTATTTGTGCAAAATGTAAACATTGTACATACTTTGCTATTGATTTATTTTTAAATTGAAATTTTCTACTGACAAATTTTTACTTGTCAGTTGAAAAGACAATAATACAGTACAGTGGGTGTACTGTATGCAAGTGTTAATTTCTCCTCTTTCTTAGTGTCATGCTGTGATACATGTTTGCATGTTGTGTGCAAGTTAAGTGTGTTGTAAACTGACCCATTATAAGCTTGTGTGCTAAGCAATTAAAACTGGTAAAATGAGATCAACTTTACTTATACCTCTCTAAGATTTATTGTAGATTCTGTTTCTTCAGTTAATATGTTTCTTAGAGGAATGTAACCTGTATTTTTTATTTCTTCCTTCCTTATGGTAGCATAGTAGATAACCACTAATTCTCTTCCTTCATGAAAAAACTGGAATGTATTCTCAAGGCATTGTCAGGGCAGAATTAGAGGCAGCATAGTTCAGCAAACTCCAACTGATCCTATTGTATTCATCATTTAAATATTGTTTCTAGTATTTAAATGGCAGAATCAATGAGAGTACTCCTGGTTTGTTTGAGTTATTCATGTTAAAAACAACAGAAATGTGTGTGGTTAGTTTGCAAATTGACTTACTTGTATTTATGTGTAAACGGCATCCAATTTACTGAACTTCAAACACTTCTGCTGTATTAATGAAGACTGCTGTTTTACTTATATTTATTTTTGTGGAAATATGAATACTGGAAGGTTTAATGTACATTTTGCTGAGATTAAACATATGCCAAAATATTTTACTTCCTATCGGTCTATGGAAAATCTTTAGAAGTACTTTCATTTTAATCCTACACTACAACTTTGTGCAACATTTATTTCTTTATTGATTTTCTGTCTCATCATGGAACGTGCCACCGCATATGTGCTCTCTGTAATGGTATTATTGTTTGTGACACATTTATATACAATTTGAAAAAATTAGAGATGACTAAAACATGAACAACAAATAACTATCCACATACAAATCCGTAGATTAAATGAACCAATTGTTAGCCCCATTCCAAATGTTGGCCACTTCTTCAATTTTTACTTTTTCACTTTAAAAAGGTACTTCTTAGATACAGAAAGTTATGTAATGCTGCAGGATAAATTGATGAATTTTCAGCAGAAATACCCTTATTGTTAGGCCTTGGTAACAAAAGAGTGGATGAATACCATTGCTAAATTTAGAAAAAAACAATCCTCTAACATGTGGTTTAGCCAAAATCCATGTTTTGTGAGTCCTTGATACCGAAACATTGATTGATGGCAAAATGTTTGTGCGTCTGTCTTTCGGTAATAATAGTGGTTAAGCCATCAGCATGATATTCTCCGATTGATCTGGCAGATGTCGCTGTCACTTGAATTTCAAACGGATATTTTATTTTTTGGGGGTACTTTACTTGAAGGCTCTGGGCCATTCTTAAAATAATGAAACCAAATATTTTAATTAAATTTTATTGTTGGATGGTGTGAAGTCAGTTTAAGAGAATGGTGCAGGTCTTGTTTTTGTTGAAATCCCTGGAGTTTATTTGAAAATTGCAAATGTTCAATTTGTTTTCCGCATTTTTCTACAACTAAAATACCTATTATACATATTTTTCCTTAATGAAATCTGTTCTTTAAAGACAAATTTTGAAATTATATCATGCACTATTTTTTGAAAATTTGAGTTTTACAAGAAATGAGGAGTGAGATGTGTTAATTCGGAGAGAAAGTGTGGTATAAATAAGAAAATATGTGCTGTTTTAGCACTACTTGTTTTAAATCCCAGTTATTAAAAAATATTTGTATGCAAGTTAGCAAATAAATTCTGAAAAAAATATTTCATTTCACAATCAAAAGCTTCTTTTCAAATGTAAGTAAGTCAAATAGTTTTTGTTTCAGTTAAACTTTGTCTTCCTTTTCCTTTCACATCTTAATTACTAATGTGAGATAACAGCACATACTTGTTCATAGGAGCAATTAGTATTTATTTATATCCCATAAGAAAAAGTGACCCCCCCTCCCTCCATCATTGATGTTGTATATGCTAGAAGATTGAATTAAATAATTACAGATTGGAGAGATATTAAGGATTGTTATAAATGGTCTGCCCACCATGGGGCAGATTAAATCAAATTATTCATAAAAGATATAGGATTGTTCAAATGGTGTGATCAATGTGGGGCACAGTGTGTTAATAAATATTGTAATTTAGGATAGTTACAATACCTGCTAGTCATCTTCTGGGTTATTGATCTCAATAGACACCGTGGCAAATATTAGTGTGGTATATATTGTGAAAGAAAACCACAGAGAAAATACAAAGACATTATTTGCAATGTATTTATATTCTAGAAATTCTTTTCTCATTCAGTTTGCATAGAAACCTTTCTGCATCTTGATATTGATATTTTATATAACTACTGATGTATTCAACATTAATTTTTTGAAGTAAATATTTTTAACATTGCTATTTGTGTTTGATGATTTAACGTGGTCAATATTTTTAAAATGAGAAAAGTTCATTATAACGAAATTCTTTAATATCATCTTGATATCCATTAATTGAAAATCAATGAAATTAATTAATTATCACATAAATCAATAAATTAAATTAATTAAGTAATTGAAATACGACAAAAATTACTAGAAACAAGGAATAAAAAATAGAGTTTTCATGAATAAAGAAGCCTATATTATTTTGAATTATCAAATTAGCTAATACAAGATTTGTTAATTCTCCTGATAATTTTTTAAATTTTGTTTTGACTATTAAATCTCCATTAAAATAATTAATAAACGAGATCACTTTCAAATTTAATCCCCCTTGCATTAACTTCAATGGTTATTAATCTAGTTTTAAAAATATCAATGTTTAATAACATAGAGAGTTTTGGTTTAGGAATGTTTTATGGAAATAAATTCAAGAAAATACAAATGCATTATATTAAATGTATTTATATTCCATAACAGTTTTTTAAAACCAATATGGCTAAACAAAAAAACAATTCTCATTCAGTTCATGTACAAATCTTTCTGCATCTTGATGTCAACAGAGAAGTTACACAAAATAAAATTTAAGGTATCACTCATCAAGAAATACGTAGGCAGATTTACAGGGCATTGTCAATAGAGTCCAAAACTTTTTAACTCGTGGTTGTTTGCCAATGTTTCAGAAAATGTATTTGTATCATAAGGGCTTGCAATGATCAGAAGAGTGTATACACAAACAAATAATCAGCTTGTGTGTGTGTGCGCTGTTGTGGTGCCTTAACCAAGCCCTGTAAATTTGCCTACAGTATAATATTTATGGTCATTAAGGATTTTCCATGTTTCACCAAGACATTTTCTGATAGTGGCTTTAAATCCTAAATTCTCTCTTCTTTTTTATCATCTTCATTAAAATGTTACATATCTCATATTATTATTATCATTATTATTATTATTATTTTTATTATCACATTGCAA